TGTCTTGTACGCCATCCTCGCCACCCTAACTTGAGGCAGCCCAAACTGACCTGCAGGATTATTATATCTTATATAGCTGGGTAGGTCAGGGTTTATAGTAGTCACCTAGTAATCATGAAGGTCACCGGTTCGTTCCTGAGAAAAATTTGGAACTTTTTGACGTTTTAATACTGGACCCAGTCCTTTTATCATTTGATTTTAATAATAAATGGTCCTGACCCAGCTGGTGTCCCCATCTCAATAATTAATAACTGGTATCTGGACCTCTCTGATTTGGTCCAACTGTTAGAATAGGTTATCTTCCATGCATTTGTGTCAAAGCTAAAGAAGTTTACTCGTACTACTATTTTTTCCTTGTGTATTATATTTTAAACAATACTCTTGTCCTTTTTCAGTGTTCATGTTATTAACAACTAAAGAGAATTAGAGTATTCTGCCTCTTGCCAGTCCTTAGAAGTAAATTCTTTCTTTAGACTACCAATATGAGTTCGTCAGAGAGTTTTCTACAGTATGTATGTTCAAGATTTTTGTCGAAGAAAATTAAGTGCTTCGATGTTCAATGGCAAAAGAGAAATTCAGTTTTGCACAACATTTTTTATTGCACGATTCTATTGGAATTTATTCAATACCACGTGATCATTTGTAAGCTCTTTGAAGCAAAGGTTCTCAGGAAACATTCGTTTTTTATATTTTGTAAACCGTTGAATAGGTATCATCTATTATTTTGTGCTTTTTTGAATGTGGTTCCTTAATACACTTTGTTCTTTATTAGATTTTCATTAGTTGATCAAGGGATGCTTACAAGCTAGGTACTTAAATATTTGGCTTTGTTAAGCTAATTAATCTGCTTGACGTTTCAAAAGCGTATTTAAAACGAATAGCGCAGTCAATCATATTAGTCTTTAATTTTCCTTTTACTAATCTTAAACTCGCAATTCTTTCAAATAACTAAAATGCCTCTATCACACGTAGCAGCAGAGGGTTCGAAAGGTATTTAAATATTAAAGTTCTCATCGATTATTCAGTTCACTAGAATGTGATTTGCACTACAAAGAGAATTTATTAAAATGGCTTCACAGGTCATGCGAGAGACAGATAATCAATATCTTTTGTGGGTTGAAGCTATATCACTTTCATTCTTCTGGACAAAGGAATCCCTTTGTACTTAGTTTGATATTCGTAAGAAATTAATTTGAGAAATTAATTATTATCAATCCTACCAAATTTTTTATTTATTAATTGTGAGAGCTATCCATTGCTGAATGGAAACCGAAATGATAGAGGAACTTTAGGTGTAATTTCTATGTTGTTAGAGGCTATTTTTTTATAGATGTAGTTAAAATATTCTAAAACAAATTTTTAGAATAATTTTTCCTAGCGATGTCAAGAGAGGAGGACTTAGGAGACATTTAAATGTGATTTACCTTTGAATATATTATTAAGGAAAATAAGTAACTTAGATAATACTTATTTTAGTACCACAGACATCAGAGTAATGATTAAAATGTTGTATGCTTTGTATAATGGGAGACGGTTTCGCATTTTTTATTTGGAGTAAAAAAGTGACACAATATACACAGATCATTGACCAACTAATTTAGGGATGTATTTTGGTCATACTCACTTCAAACTTTTAAACATACATTAGAAATTATGTTTCGAAAAAAAGCATTTACATTTAATAAATATGCATTGAGATAGTATAGGGACCGTTGTAATATATGTTATACAAGGAATGCATTTCTAAAGCATCGATATAATAGGTACTGATATATTAAATTGCAATTTTAAAAGTGATATGCTCGAGTATTGAGATAGTTGTGTTAATTGTTTAAACATCACACAGTGACTGATAGTTTTCCAGCTTACATTAACTATGATATATTTATTTTTGTAGCCTAAAGGGTGGTTAACTACGTGCCATTTAATCAATGAGCAAATTAAAGACTTCCTTGACACAGTTTCTATTCTCTATGAAATGTCTTTTTCTATGGACTTTTTTCCCAACACTCGAAAAGCCATGATACTTATCAAGCACATAGTTATTGTAATTTTAATGCTACGAAATTAATGGCTTAAATCGTGTGACATCAATTATTGTTTCATATAGCTACGTCAACCGATTCAACAACTTTTAATTTTTAAATTTCAACATTTTCTTTTTTTAACCAGCCTCTCTGATGCATTTTGGAAGTAAAGATGAACATTGAGGGTTCTAGAACCTATTAACTACCCGACATGGCTTGATACGTCAATGAAGGTATCTGATCTTGACTCGACGCTACAGCGGAAACGGATCTCTATTGACGATGTATCATCCAGCAGAAACAGATGTTTCGGGTAGAAGAGGGTGTTTTTGTTATTTGTTGACAGATTTGGGGTAGGATGGTGTTCACAAAGATCCCGTGGGATTAGCCCTACAATAGGACGACCCTAGAGGAGTCTACTTAGACGGGGTCTGACACGATGAGCCGCCCAAAGACGGTCTAAACCTTAAAAGACCAACCGGTACAATAGCTTGTCCTGGTGAAAATCAAGTATGCTGCTAGTCGAGGAACAATATAATCACTCTTTCAATCAGTCTTTACGATACGAGTAGGAAATTTAAGTTACGATCCTTGGAGAGTAGATTAAAAAAACTTCTACGAGTGTCGTAAAGACTATTACCGCATACACCGCGCTATTTGTTGCATACACTACTTTACCTACGACAGTTTTTAAATTACTAACAATCACTATTCATAGCTTCTAAGAGAGGTTATGTTTTCATTTGTATCCTCAATGCCACTGACAGTGATGCAACAAAACATTATACCAAACACTAAAATTGTATCACTCAACAATTAAATTGGCCTAAACAGCTGATTAGTTGACGTTCGAAGGATACAATTTTACTTCTTCTCCCACAATCTTTGATCTCATTGGTCCGTTACCCGTGTTGTTAAGTAAAACTATGCTGTTATAAAATGAAACTATGCTGTTATGTGATACTTTTCCATTCTAAGAACTGAACTGAAACGGCTACTTTAAAAAAACTGTTGTATCTAAACTATGTTTATGCTGTGACCAGTGATTTTGTTATGGGTTTTAAAAACTAACCTGTTTCAAAATTGTATATCTCAAATATTTGTAGATATTTGATAGGCATTTTTCAAGCTGGCCTTTGGATATGATTAAAACGTGTTATAGCTAGCCGAATTGCAAAAATACCAAAATTAATTGGAAAATACATTGGAGTAAAAAATAAACATGGCGTAAATAAGTAGTTAGTGCATGTCCTGAATATCGATTAAACGGATTATAAACTTAACTTAACTTATTATTATAAATAATTTAGGGGAAAATGATTAATAATTAATAATTTAGGAATCAGGATTATAACTCAACTTATTTCAATTAATTCAGTAGAATATTTTTAACTAATAGTTTGAATTTAATGTATAAAAACATAATACGACCTTATAATAATACAAAAGTTTATTTTTTTATATCAAAAATTAATTTAATATACAATTTAAAGAAAGACAAAAAACAGTAGAATCTAAAATTTTAACAAACCAATTAGTGTTTATTTTTGCATCATACTTTAAATTAATAGTTAATGCAAATATCAAAAACAGAAACAGTATAAGAGTCGGGTTATTTTATTATTTTTACTCAATGAAACATTAAATAGCAATCAATAATTATGTAATAATTATATTTTATACAAACTATATACTTTCATAAATAAACTATTGAGATTTCATTTATAGGTGACAACCAGCTGAAACTATAGACCATCAATCATTTCGCCACCATTGGGTGGCTGTCTCTGTCTACAGTTTTTTTACACGAGATTGCGAACGCCTGCAATGTAAAGACGCAACATAGGTGCTGTACTCATATTGCATACTTTACCCCTTACAAGAAACAGTGACTTGATGGAATAACAATGGTGTAGTATTCAAACCAACTAGAACTGTTATAGTAGAAACTTCTGAGCCTGAGAAACTTCTGTTAAATATATTGGGTAGTTTATTAAATTACATAGTTTCTCAAATATTGCTGTGAATTTAAATTTAATAAAATTCTTTAAAAAATTTTTAAAACACAAAAACATTGATTTTCTTTCAGTAGAAAGTGGTTTTCAGATGTTTTCAGTCATAATGCGTCCATTATTTGAATTAATGACTTTTTTTTATCAATTTAACAACAAAACTAATTCCGATTGATAAAAATAATTGTTGATCTCCTGGGTTATATGCTAATAATAGACTAGTAACCACATAAACGTAAACAATATTTGACCTTTTAGTTTGAAACCAAAAACTCTTGTTTAGGTATCTTAATAAAAGACCTTTACATCTATTTTTTTTATCTAATACTCCCCAATAAAAATAAGAGAATAAGTATCATATCCGTGAAGGCTTTGCTCAGGAGTGCTATTTATATTTAGTTGTTCAGTAAACTAGATTTGAGAAGTGGGCCCTAATGTAGTGTTGAATATAGAATACATGTACAACATGTTGAAACTAGAATTGTAGGATGAATGATAGTACAAATAAAAAATAATTGTTTATTATGGTAAACATTGAAGTTGTGTTTTAAGAATTTACAGAGTAAATTAAGGCTAGATCGTTTGACACAATTATTTTGTATAGGATTTAAAGCGGTCTATGAACGTTTATTAAGATAAGCTCAATTGTCCATTACCTCCTATTTACCTCCCTATAATATTTGTATATATTTATAGTTATTTATATTCCTCAATGTATTGACGCTAAACAAACGTTTTAAGCAGAACTATTTATTTACCTAATGTTTTCTTTGTAAAACACTTTTATGCTCTACTGAACTCTACAGCTATTTTTCATGCCCAACAGGTAAAAATCACCTTTTTACTTACAATAACCTTCACAACAACCATACATTTTGTGCACGGTACCTTGAGCCCCGTCAAACTCTTTCGATTTCCTCCTCCCCACCCTGCATTGCAACGACCAATGGAATACGACGACCTTAATCTATTCCATTACCAGCTGGTGATAAATCAACAATGCACACTTTAAAGTCAGCTGTTGGCCGTGGTGCGTGTGCGAGTGTTGGTGTGTGCGCGTGTGTACGTCAGGGTGGGGGAGGGGACGAGCGTTTCTGTTCAGTCCTTGCGAGACCTTTGCTCTGGTGTCATGTCTTGTACGCTGTTTGCATGGGAGGGGTTCTAACCCCACCCTTTGCAAACTATGCAAACCCTTTTCTTCTGGCTCGTCTTCACGTTGATTACCCACACGACCGGAGCCTCTTGGTAAGTTTTGTTTTTTTTTTATTTTCCCGCCAAGCCGCGTCGGGGGTGGCGCTGACCCCAGGGTGGCCTTGACCCAAATTTCGTTTTTGTTGACCCACATGCTGAGTCTATTGTTATGCCGACACCACTTTATATATGCATGAGTGTATTGGCGATTTAATTACACTTGTGACAAATATATGTTTAATTTTTGTGGACTGTTTTATGTAGGGCATTTTAAATTTTTTTATTTTATATGATTTTTCCAATATTTTTTTTATTTAGGGTAGTAGTACTGAAGATTTTAATATTCTTAGATGGTATGAACCGCTTAATATTTTTTTTAATTTAATGATTTTTGATTCAGTAGTGAAATTGATTATGGATATTTATGATAGTTATTGTTGTTTGGGTTATAGTGGAATTATTTATCTGCTGTTGATAAAATGTTTACAGTAGTGAACACGTTGACGTAAATGTAAAATTATTATGTCTTATTTGTTTATTTTTTTATTTAATTAACAATTTTGTGATGATGTGTCGACAGTATGCATGCAATCGTTAAAAGCATTAAATCTATCTTCTCGTCTTCTATAACTTACTCAACAATGTATTTCTTAAGTGTTGTATACTTTTGTAAAACAATGTTACATGTAGCTTAGGAACACGTTTGTAAAATATCCATTAGAAAGATTTCAACCCACAACTCTATAGTTTATGAGATGCTATGTAGTGGATTATTTTAATATTGCCACGCCTGTTTTAAAAGATAAAATGGTAATACAAATATTTTATAAAATAATAACAAGTTGACGCGTTTTATCAATATTATAAAATAAATCATAAAGCATAAAGTGTACCAATAATCAAATAATTTACCGAATAACTTATTCATCTCCGACATAGATTAATCTGTAAATATTCTATTTATTATTCTCAGATATTATTCATGCAAGTTATATAGAAGTTAATAGGAATTATTCAGAAGTTAATAGGTCAGTACAACGGCTGGCGGATACCTGTTTATCATTGTCTTCTTACCACGACTTAACGCTAACAGATTATAACTAATAACTCTTTAAATTGTTTTATTAATTTGTTTGTTTTTTCCACCACAAACAAGCTTCACAGTATTATTTGTTCAGAGTTTGTTTACAAATTATGTTTAATTACGCTATGACGAGTGTGACCTTTTATTAACTGTAACACAGAAGCAGTGCTTTGTTCAAACTGCCTAAGGGGAAAATTAAGATAAAATATACTAAATAGAAACATTATTTTAATTGCTGTACATGTCATAGTTAGGGAGAAATAATAAGTGGAAATCGCTGTCATGTTCAGTTATTTTCATTTCCGTGTTAAATTACTTAATCCTACGCTAAAACAAAACCCAATTATGCTCAAAACCTATACAATAACAAAGATTCGTACACAGGCCTAACCAGAAGAACTTAAATTATACCTTATGAACAAAACATGTAATCTACTTTAACCCTCAAATCATTAAACACACAGAACCAGATTATACAAAGCCACTACTGTATAGTATGTACTTTGTTCAGAAGTTCTCGGATGGAAGCTGCCAGTGCGGTACTTTGTTCAGAAGTTCTCGGATGGAAGCTGCAGTGCGGTACTTTGTTTAAAAGTTCTCAGGTAGAAGCTGCTGGTGCGGTACTTTGTTCAGAAGTTCTCAGATAGAAGCTACCGGTGTGGTACTTTGTTCAAAAGTTCTCAGATAGGAGCTTTGGAGTGTTACTTTGTTCAGAAGTTCTCAGATAGAAGCTACCGGTGTGGTACTTTGTTCAAAAGTTCTCAGATATAATCTGCCGGTGCGGTACTTTGTTCAGAAGTTCTCAGATAGAATCTATTGGTGCGGTACTTTGTTCAGAAGTTCTCGAATAGAATCTATTGGTGCGGTACTTTGTTCAGAAGTTCTCGGATGGAATCTACTGGTGTGGTACTTTGTTCAGAAGTTCTCAGATAGAAGCTGCCGGTGCGGTACTTTGTTCAGAAGTTCTCGGATAGAATCCACTGGTGCGGTACTTTGTTCAGAAGTTCTCAGATAGAAGCTGCCGGTGCGGTACTTTGACCGGGAGGTCCAAGGTGCTGCATGCGGCCAGTTAATTATAAGGGATGCACCTTAATAACAGGCTCCTAAAGATTTAGTGAGCGGCTCACACCGTGCCCGCGCGTACGTACGAGTGGCTGAGTGTGTGTGTGAGCCTAATTGAATTGTGGGCTTTACATCCCGACACTCGATACGGCAAATTTCAACACAGGCTGCGCCGTGAATGCCTAGGAAGGAGGTTGTTTCGTTTTTTTGAAAGAGGTGTTCTAGACCGTTGGAGATTTGAGCAGGGTAATCTCGAGGGGGCGAAATGGGATCGTGTTGATTTAGTTCCTATAAACACTTTGATCTGTTGAAACGACTTTACCATACTGGAGTGGGGTTTTTACTAAACATGTCAAACCTATGGTAATGTTGTGTGTTTGATTTTCCCCACATCAGCACATTGCTTAGACCAATGGGACTTGGTCAGTCTTCAGGTCAAATTCCACCAATCAACGGCTTTTTGCAATATAATATACTTTGATCAGGTAGTTAAGAACCCAACTATCAATCTATCATAGAAATGAAGAAAGTCCTCCTGTACGACAGCTGTACTTGTATTTAATACATTTCTCCACCATGAGCCATGCGTTAATATTTGTTTCAGTTTAGTATGCAAACAAGGGTTGCCGCTAGAAAACATATTTAAATATGTAGGAATAAATTGTGAAATCAAATGTAATTGGACTCTAAACTAAAGTGGGAACAAGTTTGAAGACGTATAAAATATCTTGAATGCTAACTTAACATACAGTGTTGAGGTAATACAGTTGTTTGCAATTATACTTTAACTTAGCCAAATCTGTATTTTAGAAAATTAGCAGGGAGTTTGTTCTAATAATATTCCCTGTATGTATTAGACACTTTTGGTCCAGTGGGTATGGCATCCAGGGGCTTTTGGAGACTCTGGTTCAAATCTTGCCACTTGCCATCTTAACTAAGTCATAATGCTGTCGCGGGGTGGATCAGAGCCGTTCTTAAGCTACACATTAACCAATCTAAAAACAAAAAAGTTCTCCCTCCAATAATAATAATAAAAGCCTCACTATAATAATTTATCTTACTGCTATATAAGAAACTACCATGAGAGATGCCAAATGTTTAACGAAGTTTAAATAAAAACAAAACGTGAATAATTTCTTATCTCACCCCACGCTCCTGTTATATACGACTACTCTTTTACTCCCCTGTTCTATGCGACTACTCTTCTGCACCCCTGTTCTATGCGACTACTCTTCTGCACCCCTGTTCTATACGACCACTCTTCTGCGCTCCTTTTCTATCCAACTTCTCCTGTTATCTTATGTTTTTATATAGAGTGTATTGTATCTTATTTTGCTCTCCTGTTGTCGTAGCCTTGGTTGTTGCTCACAAATCCCCTGTATTGCCTTGTTGGGAAGGTAGTCCCTCTAATTCTGCACTTTTTCTCCCTCTACCCTTAATGGCTTTTCACAAATGCCCCATCTTGCATCCCATATTTGTGAGTAGTCCCTCTGAATCTACACTCCTGATCCTCTGTACAGTATCTGCTTTGCTCCCCTGTTCGTGGCCAACTGCAACTCTATATGGCTGTTCACTTCTCACATTGAGAGTAGCCCCTAGCTTCTGTTCTCCTGTTCGTGGCCAACTGCAACTCTATATGGCTGTTCACTTCTCACATTGAGAGTAGCCCCTAGCTTCTGTTCTCCTGTTCGTGGCCAACTGCAACTCTATATGGCTGTTCACTTCTCACATTGAGAGTAGCTCCCTTCTTCGTTTCTCCTGTTCTTGGCCTGCTCTCTATTTGGCTCTTCACTTCTCACATTGAGAGTAGTCCCTGCTTCTGTTCTCCTGTTCTTGGCCAACTGCAACTCTAGATGGCTCCTCACTTCTCACATTGAGAGTAGCTCCCTAACTTCTATTCTCCTGTTCTTGGCCTACTCTATATGGCTCCTCACTTCTCACGAGTAGCCCCTGCTTCTGTTCTCCTGTTACTCCTGTTTATGTATCCGTGTTAATGAGCCAGGCCTCGTCGCTCCATATTTCTCTGCCCACTCTGACACAATGGTTTTATCAATCAGTGTCTCGCTAATTGTAATTGCTCTCTTCGTTATTGCCCTCCTGATTGGTCGATACATCACGGTGATTGGACGCGCGCCTCCCTTACAGTCGTCATTCTCCTAACTCCGGACCTTACCCCTCAGAAGTGTAAAAATGTCTTTGGATCAACGGACTTAATACTGTCGTACACTGTTAAATTACTCGTCCCATAAACATAAATGTGAGATTTCCATCTATTTAAAGACTTCGTCAAAGTTTGAATTATTTACATTTTTTCAATGTTTTAGTAATTGGTAGACTGACTCCTGTACTTGACCTTAGGTATAGCTATTGACAATGGATGTATACTGAAAAAAACCTGCATATTGAGTGATTATTCTCTAAGACATATAAATTGAAGATTTTGAGTTTCTACTAACCAACGCTAGAATTCTCATTCCATTATAGAAATCCAAGCTCGTTGTTCGTGTCTAGTTCATGTTGGTGAGGTAAAGATTACATTTTCTCCTTTCCTTTTTGGCAATTTTATGACATGTTATAGTTGAAAATAACTTGTCCTTTCCATTTTTCTTGGTGAAAAAGCTTGCATATTCTACAAGCACCATTAATTGACAACAGCTCAATTCGTAAAGTTCAATGCAACTATCTTTATTTCTACTAAAAATGGTAACCTCTATGGGAATGAGGTGTCTGCTAGTCAAAAGCTACAATATTGTTGATACACTTGCACACCAGATCCTAACATAATTTTTCACAGTACACATATTACAACCACAGTAGTTGGGATTGGGTTACAATGATAATTGAAGTATACATTCTACCATAAATATTCATAAAGGTTGCCAACTCTACTGTGTAAAGCTCACTTGTA